AGTAGAGAGTAGAATAATTGTTACCAGAGGTTGGGGGGGGTACGGGGGAGAAGTAGTGGTGGACTAAGGGGTACAAAACTATACTATCTACTTTAAGTGAATCATTGTGCAGTATATGCATGTATGAAGCAACATACTGTACCCCACAAAAACATACAACATGTTTTATTCTAACATAAAAAATAAAATAAAAAATAAAAATAAGTGACTGTTTAAAGCAAAATAATAACAATATGTGGAAGTAAAATGTATGACAACATGAGCACTAAAGATGGGAGGGGGAAAATGGAAGTATTCTGTTGTCATTTTCTTACATTTTACATGAGGTGATAATTTATTACTTGAAGGTAGACTGTAATATGATAAAATGTATACTATAAACTCTAAAAAAGCTACAAAAAAAAAACCAAAGAGTTATAGATAATGTTAATAGAGGAAATAAAATGAAATCCCCCAAACAACACTCTATTATTCCAAAAGAAGGCAGGAAAAGAGGAAAGGTGGAAAAATGGAAAAAAGAACAAATAGAGAAAACACAAAACAAACAGCAAGGTAGTAGATCAAAACCCAACTATATCAATAATTATATTAAATCAAAGTGTTCTAAACATTCCAATTAAAATACAGATATTTTCAGATTAGATTAAGAAGAAAAAAGCAAGTCCCAACTATATGATTTTTATAAGAAACTCACTTTTAATATAAAGACACGGATTAACAGTAAAATGATGGGGACAATACACCATACAAACACTAATTAAAGTATTTGATGGGTTTCACTTATCTAAAATACAGAAAGATAGTTTTTTGGCTCAGGACAAAATCATTGATGAATAACATTGTTAAAGTACCACACTTTTCTCTAAGTATTCACCTTTTTTATAATAAAAGATGATTACATGAGCACTATAGAATAAAAATATGTGAGCCCCAAAGCAAACTAGATATGTAATTTTAAGTTTTCTAATAGCCACATTTAAAAAAGTAAAAAGGGGGGCTGGCCTGTGGCTCACTCGGGAGAGTGTGGTACTGATAACACCAAGGCCACAGGTTCG